TGATAATTACACCAGATCAGGTAAATACAGAGATGAAATACAATAGTTTTGACATACGCAATGCTCATGTAAATTGCATAGAAAACTATTCAAACTTTCAACAGCTTGAACAAAAATGCTTGAAATACCTTTGTATGGTTTACATGTAATAACTTACATGTTTACATGAAATTACTTCTGTCCATGTCTAAGGATTGTTTGAATTACCGACTGTGTTTTGAAACAAACGTAGTAACAGATTTCAGTGTTGTAATAACACTGACATGTATATATTATGTGTCGATGGAAAGGCGCATGTTGTCACTATATATTCGATTAGGTAACATTATCTACTTTAGATTATGAAAAATTTACATTTACTATTCGGTAAGCTTTATATTACTGTATAATTATTTGTGTTTACGATTCATTATATGAGTGAGTGAGTGAGTTAAAATTTTAAATCGCATCAGCAATATTACAACGATATAGCGATGAAAACAAGGTAATCAATTTAAATAGCTGTCGACAACGGACAGTAAAACCAACTAGACTATCACAGATATATACGTAAAACTGGTAATTAAATCTAAAATACTTTAACTATAGAGGACGATACAATATAAAAACAGGCTATTCATCGCCAACAACTTAAGGTAGATCATCATACCAGGGTCCATGGGGAGTTACAGTACGTTTGCTACCTGCATGGACCTTAGTTGGATTTACACCATCCCTTCAGCCGCTGGCGATTGTAGGAAACGGTTAGCCGAATTTTACAAGAGCAAATATACTACGTTTTAGAAATGCAAAAAGCTTAAATTTAACTTTGAAAGTTTTGGGACTTACGTACCCTCTCAGGAGGACAATACTTTTACGATACTTTAACACCCTTCGAGGATACAGCCACTAACAATTGCAGTTGCTTATTTATAATACCATGTTCCAAATAACACTTATCTATTTACTAATCATTTAACAAATCTAATTCTTTTAAAAATGCAATAATTAAATGAGAACTTACATTATTAAAAAGATAGTTCGTGATTTGAAATGGTTATCCCTTGTGATGGAATATCCAACACAGTCAAGCAGGACATGCTTGACCGTGATTCTTTCATCACAAGGGATGCAAAACGGAGGATCCTCACCTTTCAGTAGGTACTCATGAGTATATATTGTGTGGCAAATCAAATCTGGACTGACAACCAAAGTAGGTGTAACCAGTATAGGGTTTTATTTCATGTAATTTATTGATACCTGCTTGGTACTACCACTTCTCCTGCATTAGATCACGGATATAAGATCTGATGACAGCTTTATAATCAGAGTATGGAATAATAAGTGGTGTCACAGATTTGTGCTTGGCAGCAAGATCGGCCATTGTATTTCCAGAAATGCCAACGTGGCTGGGTAACCAACAGAGGTTTTGGCTTTCATTATATGAAACATGGCAACATAATAATACCTAAAATGTAAATTCAAACTATTCTACTGTTTGAATTGTTTGTGTGTCCTTTAAATTTCGTATATTGTTTTGTATTTATTAGGAAGTTGAAGAAAATATGATCTTCAGTAACCTCTAACACATTACATCTAAGCCAATCAATGTGCATAAAAAGCATTTTAGTATCCTTGTGTTGTTTTTATTTACGACAAAAGTGAATACAATTTGTTTTGGATTTTCAAAACCATTTTCATTGGTCCATTTTTGGAGTTGTAGCTGCCATTATATTGCGTGCATGTATGTACCAGGACATAAAATACTGAAATCCATGAAAAGGGACTCAGCAACACAACTGTTCAAGACGTTAGTGAGGCTGTTAATTTTGATGCCCAAAAGTGTGACACACAGGATGCTGCCTTGAGGAACACCCTGGTCTTGGTGGAAATAATCAGACAATGTGGAACCCTCCCGTACTTGAAAGTGTCTGATGCTTAAAAACTGAGACATGAACTGAGGTAGTCTTGCCCCTCAATCGAAATTCATGTAAATATTTGAAGATACCATGCTTCCACGTTAAATCATATGCTTTTTCTAAGTAAAAAAAGATAGATACAGTATGTTGTTGGTTGACAATGGACTTTTTGATAAATGATTCCAGACGCACCAGATGGTCAATGGTACTTCGCTTCTTTCGGAAACCACATTGGAGGTCACTAAGGAGGTTATTGGTCTCCAAGTACCAGACTAATCGATTGTTGACCATGCGCTCCATGGTTTTACAAACACAGCTAGTTAGTGATATAGGACGGTAGTTTGAGGGATCAGTATGATCCCGACAAGGCTTTGGTATAGGGATGATAATGGTATTGTGCCAAGAAGGAGGAAAGTTTCCGGTTTTCCAAATATCATCAAATTTATTGAGTAGTGTTTCAAAACTTTTATCAGGGAGGGGTTTTAAAAGCTGATAATGAATATCATCAGCTCCTGCTGTAGTGTCGTGAGCCTGCCCCAGGGCAGTACGTAATTCATGAAGAGAAAAAAGTTTCATTGTAATTCTCACAATTATCAGAGTTAAAATTGACTGATTTCCTTTCGTGTTGGGTTTGGTATTTCTGGAGCAGAGGGTTATAATTTGATGATAAAGAGAGGTTCATCACGTTTCTTTGCAATTTCAACTTTATTTGTTAAAAGGGAGTAACAATCTTGGAGATTGGAACACCAGATTTTGATCCGTTGCCTTTAGTCTTTTGAATCATGTTCCACACCTTCGACATAGGTGTGCGAGAGTTGATTGTCGACACATGTTTCCTGACGACTGGCGTTTAGTTTGTTTTAAGGAAAATCTTGCCCTGGCTTTTGTCATTTTAACAGCATTCAGGTTATGCACAATAGGGCATTGTCGGAAATATTTTTCCGCCTTCTTCCTATTTTGTCTAGCTTGTTTGCAGTTTGTTTCAAACCATGGTTTCCGTATGTGCGGGTTTGGAGGCGATTTAGGAATGGTTTCGTCTCCAATAGCATTTAAGACGTCTGAAAATAGTTCCATGGGATCAGGAACATTCCTGAAATTTTCAGGTTTGATTTTTCCAGAGCAGAGGGTTTGGGACAATGGCTAATTGGCCTGAGTGACACTCCACCCTGTTGAATACGGTTCATCCACGGGATTGATAGGAGTAAGAATTGCTGGGAAGTGGTCACTTGAGCAAAGGTCATCATGGACCACATAGATGCATAGATCCATATTTAAGAGAAAATCTTCAAGAACCTTTCCCTTGTTGCTTTTATCTGTACTCCCACATATTGGGTTTTGGCCGTTCAAGTTAACATTTTGAGCATGTCCAAAAGTGTTTTGTAGTACCAAAGTTTGTGGAAACATTTAGTGCACAGGACAAGGCATGACCAGCCGATTAGTAGAATCGGGCCTATTCTACCACCCGTCTAGGCAAAGTTAGGGTCGAAGTGGTGTGTTGGATTATTGAACTATAACTACCAGACTCCCTTTCTCTGCCGACCCGGGGACGCAACCCACGGCAAACGGGTTGCACAATTTGGTCGCCTCTTGCGACCAGCAATGGGGTGCTGTGGACCTATTTGACCCCGGGTTCACTTGGTGGACGAAGAACTATTAGCGTTACCCAGCTCCTATCACGAGGATGTTGCTCTTCAAGGGTGCCTCATTATTAAGTACTTGAAGGTAGTTGGCCTGTACATAAAGTGTAGCTATGTCATGTGAATGACTGATTGCTTGCTTTTAAAATTTGGTGCTAATACTTTTTCTGTTTGTAAATAATTATGAAATGAATAAATATGTATTTTAAAAAATCAGACTTGTAATCTGTATGTAGACTTGGTGTCGTGCTATATGGCTGAAATAATGCCGATACGACATAAAACTCAATTCAACAGCAATGGAAGTGACTGTGGGATTGAGCTAAAGCTGACTCATTAAGAATATGATTGATTCAGGATGTCTTACAGTGATGGCTAAATACTTCGAAAAGATGGCAGAGTATGGCAGGGTGGATTGATAGTAAGTATCATCTGTATTGTCTAATCATACACAATCATGTTAATATGTCTTATCTCATGATTGAGTGTAACTCAAGAAAATAAATGCGTATGTTGTCATGATGCAAACAAATGAACGAAACATAAGTGGAAATATGGCATCTACTTGGATCCCTTCTGTTGTAAAGTGATTGTTCCTATTACTGTACATGGTGCATATATCGCATACATGCTTAGATAATGTTTTCACGGATAATTACACATTTTCTCCCACATTCTGTGGACATGTAAACCGTTTGTTGTTTCATCTTCGTTCCTTACAGGTTGATGTGACTGTGAAGAGGTAGCAACAGCCTTCTCCTCTAATTACAAGGGAACTTATGTCTTCTTGATACACTTGGATGTCAACCTATTTTCTTCTAAACTTAAACATAACGAGACTAAAAAGAGAAAGTTGAAAGAAATTGAGAAGAAAGTATCAGCATTAAGAAATACCTCAGGCGGTGAGATCCTCGTTCATCTGCAAGGTCAAGACCAAGAAGATAGGTATCTTGGGCACTTTGACAACATTACTGACGCTTGCCTGAAGAATCTAATCCCTGATGGACAACTGTTCACGGATGTTTACAGACGTCAGTGGTTGTGGGATGTTTTTCCTCGTTTTGAGAGTACCCCTGCTCTTCTCCTCACTGTAAACAAAGCACGGTCTGTATGTACAGTGCATTTTACACGAAGGTCGCATCGGATTGTATGATTGAAAATGTGTCGACCGTTGGTTTCGTCTCTCTCTTGTCCAGAAAGGAGATCACAACAGCGACAGAACCAACGCTAAGAGGAATCCACAACTTTGAGAAACGACTCCATGAAAACAGACACATTGAACTTAAAAGTGTTTTCACGAAGAAAGATCGAACATTTCATAACATTTCCTCGTTTGTTGATTACATTTGGACTGATCTGAGATTCAGGGAAAATTTATGTTCCATGTCAAAACTTGAAGGTGGGGGTTCTTTCTTCGTGGGAATTAACGAAAGAATTGGAAGGGGAACTTACGACTCAAGGAAATAAATCCAAACGGTTTTCCTTGCAACTGGAACGTTGACGAGTTAAAGACGTCTTTGGATGATAAACTAGAGTGTGACGCATCCTATCAACAACCAGACGGTGCTCTCACGTCTGTCCCCACCAGTCTCATTGAGGTTGCACTGTATAACTCTCCTTTGCAAATCCAGACTAGTCCTCACAATTTCAAGATTTTAGAAATTGCAGTCGGGTATGCTGAGGGCATTGTATTCTATAATAAAAAAGGCCCTGAAACCTACACCATTGACGAGAAGGGAAACATATATAGAATGGAACATTGTGAATGGTTGGAGAGAATACAGTCGTTCAGTATAGTTGATAACAAGCACTAACATTTTGAACACCATGTCTGTCTACGACAGTGATGAATCTTCATTTTCGCATCCTTCATCTTTCTCTGACCAAAGGTTTAAGGTCATAGAGGGCACTGCATTGCATTCTTCTCGTGTTTCAGGGGGTAAGCATTGCCTTTTGTTAAAATATATTTTACATGTATGTTTAAAGTATAAAACCTGTCCTATATGTGTTTGGTCATATATTCACAGACAACAAAATATAATTCAAAATAGAACAAGAGATATGAAAAACAAGAACATTAGTACTAGTTATGTAGCATAACGTTAATATAACGTCAAACAATTATGATATTTTAAGTAGGTGTCTCCTATATCGGTTTCAGGTTCTGAAAACAATGGCAAAGCATGTAAGACAATCGCACGTCAGTCCCTTGGAGGTACGCCAAGTAGAATTCATACATGTTTTTGCAGGATCAGTTAACAATATCATCGTCAGGTTAGCAATCTCGGTTTCGACTGGGGCCTACTGAAATGTACAGGGTCTTCAACTTTATAAATATGTTTTACATTATTCTAGCCAGTCAGTGAGCGAATAGGGCTTTATGGATAAGTGTATGGGAAATTCACGTATTTCATGTTTTGTTCTACACATACTATTATGTTGTTGTTTGTTCAGTTATATTTCCATAATGTTATTGAAAGTCTTGGAATAATGGTCACGATCATATGAGGGAGACCCTGATTAGTTGATGGTATTTTCCATGGTGTAAGTGAAATCAGTAGGGCAGGTAACCGCATATATTGCGAATGTGGAGGATGTAGTGGCACTGTAGTCAAAACTGTTGGTGTAAAACAGGAAATGACTGAAAAAGTATTGCACTTAACATGCTGATTAAACATTTTGTTTGTTTGGACGTGTATGTTTGTCATTTTCATGCGTTCCACCACGTTTTCGTGTTTCTATTTAAGATACTGGAAAGCCAATGGAGGGGTATCTATCTACAGTATTCAGTTGCAGCTTGTTTCAGAAGGACATTTATGCCGGTATACATATTCCTACAACATGTATTTGAAAGGTTCAGCTTTTACCTCATTGTCCACCCGAACATGAACTGTATCAACTCTTCCCGTGGCTTGTGTGCCAGGTTGTGTGTCTGCCTGTCATAAATGGCCATGTTATTTACTTAAGCCACTAATAAAATTTTGCAATTACGATCTCTGGAAAAAAATAAATCTTTAAAATCCCACTGTGTAGAAAATCAACATTTGTTAGCAGTTTGTTTTGGTTTAAAGAGCAGAACATGCATTTTAATCATGTTGCAACATTTAGATACCGATGCTTGACCTTGACATCTGTGTTACGAAAGTAGGTTCTTGTGATTAGAACATATCATTTTTTTATTTATACGTTTTTTACAGAGGGGCATATATGCCTGTAGGATGCTCTTAAGACACTTGAATTGAAGATTCACTCCCAAATCGTTAGTATTGAACTTGTGAAATGCTTGCTGAAGTGTGACACAAAGAAATGTATATCCTCTTAGTCCACACAAGCTGGTGACGATGCGTCCAACTATATTTAATCAGACATGTCAGTGGCTCTGACATTTGCTACATTATATTGCATTAGATTGGTTTACAACCTAGCCTAGTCTAGTCAAACGTTCGCTCGTCACGCTGAAGAAAAGTGGCATAAAACTAAACTCACTCACTCACTCACCTTTCTCAACACTATGCTGTCTTATGCTTACGCTACCGATACGTCGCAATAGTCGAAGTGATATCATAAGAGTGCTATATAGTTTAGAAACCATAATCGGGTTACCTGCAGGTGATCTCGTATTTACAAACGTAGTGGCTATCAAGTCAAGACTTCAGTGCGATTGGAAGGCTGCTGCTTCGGCAAGTACTTACAAATCTTAACTTAGTCATAATAATTGAGTAAGCTATAGCCACAGTATACTAACACAAAATTGGTGTTGCAGGTAAAGTCGTCATCTTCCCTAAATGTATGCACAGGATGTTGGCAAGTGAGTACCCAGAGATTCTGTCGGTACTTGAAGAAACATACGGACGGGGAGCAGTTATCTACGTTGGAGGGTCTTTTCAGTGTATATTTCCAAGACATCCTCAACGATTTCACAAAGTTCAGACAGAGTTGATATGTGACATGTGCATTTTTGCAAACAATAAACCAGCTCTCCTACTCACTGTTGCAAAACAGGGGGATTATTTAACCGGTTACAATTTGCAGATGAAAAGAAACTTGGAAGAATGGATAAGGAAAACATTGGTTGAATTCAAAGCCTTGTCTGTAGTTGTGACCCCTGACGACTTTAGAATTCGAGGACATTTCAAGCGAATACTTTCCTATACTGAGACACAGTCGCCGACAAAGGTTCTTCCCTCAACTTTGGGAATAGTGATACTGGCTATGGAAACCTTTCTTCGGAAGCTGGCAACCTGCGAGTTCGTTCAACGATTTTATGGAGTTTCCGAAGAAACCATATATCTTGATGAAGACTTATTTGAAGAATTCATTGAACTGATGGAAGAGGAAAATAGCAAAACTGTGTATTCCAAATGTTCAGACTATACAATGCTCCTGGCTTGTGAACTAGGTTACAGGTTAGCTCTGATTGGCCACACATCCATCCATTCAAAATCAGAAGCAACGCGGGAATTTGAACAACTAAGGTAAGATTTTGATCTATATATCGTCGCCTTAAAGTCGTGAATACGGTATATACATAGGCACAATATACATTAAATATGTTGCGTTGTGTAGTGTTTTCGTTCATGTCATTTGGCCAATACAGGACACAACATCAAGCAGTCTTCGCCGTTTATTACCAGCCGACCACTACAGGGATACAGACGACGCGAGCGTTCATGAACTATGTGTTTTTACAGCATACGGGGAAAGCGGTGGCCAGGTTGCTACAAGAAACAATATGCTTGGCAGCAGATATAAAGCAAACAAAATTGTATATTCTACACTCTGTTTGTTAAATCAACTAGTTGGATTAAAGGATAGAAACTAACTTCCCCACTGGCTCAGTTGGATTTGCTAAACATGTTACTTGTAGTAATGGTAAATCAGTCATTGTAAGTACTTCTAAACTGTCTCTAAAGTTGAATATTGTCGACATGTCCTTAGCATTTAGAAATATGTTTGGCAAGAGCGAAGTAGCCGCATGTCCACCTTTTCTTTAAAGCCCCAGAATCATTTCCCCACCTTGGGTTAGATAGATTTGGGCAAGAGCGAAGTAGCCGCATGTCCACCTTTTCTTTAAAGCCCAAGAATCATTTCCCCACCTTGGGTTAGATAGATTTGGGCAAGAGGTGGCTGACTGTGTGTATCATGAACCCCTTACTGACGGTAGCACTGCCCACGATATCAGGTACTTCAACGTCCGGTTCTGAATTGAATATTTGAAAACATAGTCAGAACAGAGCAGTCTTGCTGAGTGGGGCACATGATCCTATATTACTTTTGACAATTTACTTGCACTCGGATTTATTCATGCATGAGCTTTAGTGTTCTCAAATCTAGTACACGTGAAACTTGCGTCTTTTCTTAGGTGATAATATTTCCTCTTTTTAATGAAAAGACATGCCCTGTGCGTTACCATATTGAAACAGAACGCATAATTCATATAGATAGCATCATTACAAAGTGTATAACGTATTCAATGTATAAATGATGTTAGCACACAATGTACATTACGTAAGGATTGTAAATAACATGCCTGTGACACGAGTTACCCAATCACCGCCCCTTGCCTTCATAACTGTATAATTGCTAATAGTATGTACGACCATTTCTGCAGATACGTGTGTTGCAAGTTACCATACCGACATTACTTCCCTCTCGTGTCATCAGTGAATGAGATGAGATGAAATGCAGCCGTCACGAAGGGACGCTAAATAACATAATCACTAATTAATGAAACCAATTGCATAAATTTCTGCTATGTTTTCAGAAAAGCACAAAACCTGGCCATCTCGATCACTTACGACAGGAGTGTTGCTGATGAGAACTTGGAAGAAGGCGATGTGCTCTTGTCGTCGTGGAAAGGGGGTATAATTCTATTTCGAAAGGGTAAGTTTCGTTCATTTTCTAAAAGTTATATACTGCTTAACAAAGAATAGTAAATATACTCTACAAAAAATAATGAAAGAAAAGAAAGAAAGGCAAAAGTAGAATAAACGCAGCTGATTTTCATAGAAATGAATACCAAATTTGAATTCCTCATGTCTGTAAGTTGGCTGATTCGGGCCATCAGTGATCACATATTCTAAACTGTGATGCTTGTCCATATGGGTCAAGATCATGAGAACTATGTAGGCTATAAGAGTTCGTCAGAATAGATTTGAGTTCTTACGGTGCCTGATCGTTCTGCCTGATGGTATGGGAAATCGATCTCTAAAGGGTTTATTTTTAAGAACGGTGGTTGCATATAAAGAAAGGAAAATATCATAAGAGATGAAAACTTGTAGAACGAGTTTTCTTCTTCTATCCATAAATGAGTAAATAATTCAATAATGATAATAATAATAATAACTTGCGACTACTTGATTTTCTCAAGTCTTTCATGAGTTGCTGGTCGACTCAACTTGAGATGTACTTGCAAGGGCAGGTGCAGACTTCGGAATCTATTCCCATCAGAAGGGGTATTTTCCAGGGGGATTCATTTAGTCCTTTACTTTTTTGTTTGTCTCTAAATCCTTTGAGCTTTCTGCTCAACAGAGAGGAGGGTTACCATCCCGGACCTCCACAGCACAGATCCCTAACACCTCTTACTCATCTCCTTTACATGGATGACATCGAGCTCCTTGCCAAAGGAGATTCCAATTTGAAAAAAAACAGGTTCTCCTTGTCGAGTCCTTTTCTAATGATATTGGCACGACATTTGGACTCGACAAATGTAATACTCTTCATTTGAAAGGTAGTTAATGATGGATCGCTCAAGTTACAAGGGGTAGGAGTTATTGAGCATCTTGTGGAAGATCAGGCCTACACCTATCTTGGAATGCAAGTTCGAGACAAGCTCCAGAATGCCCAGATTCAAGAAAAACTTCGGGCCGAGTACAAATCTCGTTTAAAGAAAATCTGGAGCTCAGAGCGTAATAAGGTCAAAGCCACCAATACTTTTGCTGTGCCAGTCCTCTCCTATTCCTTTGGAATAGTTGACTGGACGAAACAAGACATCCAGAGTCTTGACCGCCTGACCAGAAGGATCATGTCTGATAACAGAGCCCACCACCCTCGTTCCTCTCTTAACCGTTTATACATGCCAATCAATTCTGGAGGTCGGGGTGTGATTAATGTGGAGGCTCTTCATGATAGAGTTTTGTGTACTTTTGCACATATTTATTTATCGGATGATCCTCTAGTGATGCATGTGAAGACTCGTGATGAAAGCAAGGAATTCCACAGCTATTTTAAGCGTGCCAAGGTTGTTGGACAGAATCTGAGATTTGAGGTTGATTTTGTTGATGGCGATGTACTGCTGGACGGTACAGTGATGGGAGTAAACCAGGTGAAATCGTTCACCAAGTCTGCCCAGAGTCGGTCTTTTGTGGAGAAGCTTTCTGAGAAGCCATTGCATCGTGTGTACATGCAGTGTGTTGAACAGAATAGCAATCCCACCGACTCCTTCGCCTGGATGAAGTCTACTGGTCTTAAATGTGAAACTGAGGGCTTTCTTTTTGCTGCTCAGGACCAGTCACTTCCCACTCGCAATCGCCTAAATGTGATTCTTAAAGAAATTATCAATATGAAATGTCGACTTTGCAATGAATTCACAGAGACTGTCCAACACCTTGTCAGTGGATGCCCTCCCTTGGCACAAACAGCATATCTTAAACAACATGATGGCATGGCTCACTGCTTTTACTACCTTCTCCGACATGCCTGTGGCTTTGACTCCGAGGTCCATCCATGGTACGACCCTGAACATGTCCAGGGCGTCATCGAAAATGATGCTTTCAAACTTCTCTGGAATAGGCCCATATACAGCCTCAGAAGAATTCCAGCTAACAAACCTGATCTTGTCCTTTTTGATAAAGCCAATGAATTTATTTATATCATTGAATTTTCTGTCCCTTTTGACACCAATGTGATTGGCAAGATTAAGGAAAAGCATGATAAATATGCGGACCTCGCCTTTGAAATGTCTCGCTTGCATCCCAAGTACACTGTCGTCAGGCTCCCCATTATTCTCGGCGCCCTTGGTTTGGTACCTCCTGATGTCTTGGCGCAGTTCAGGAGAGTGCCCGGGTTCTCCACCGGGAGTACAGCCCTTCTGACACTCTGGGTAATGCAGAAGGCTGCAGTGTTGGGGAGCCTTCATATTCTCCGGAAAGTTCTTGGTGGGTTTGACTAGGCAGCGTTTCCTGGGAGAAGTTCAATTCGCTGTTTGGGCTGCGTGTAGAGGGGGCAAGGGCCCTGAGCTGATGATGAGCCTTACCAGCCTGACTGTGCCAGGATCACCCGAACCCTCTCTGCTGCATACCATCTTAAATCTGTAAAACTTAACAGTGGGTATTTGTAACCGCGCCTATTTCAGTAGGTATAGTAAATAAATCTGAGTTTTTTACAATTATTCTTGGCAATTTGGCGGGATATAGGATTTAAAGGGGAGTATCGATACGTTTGTATATTCCTCAGTTTAGTTTAGCCGAGTGAGTTTAGTTTTACGTCGGACTCAACAATAATTCAGCTATATGGCCCTTTAAGCCACCTGTGAAGGTCTGGGTTAGAATTGATCTTTAGTAACCCAGTCTTGTCGTAAGAGGCGACAAAGTGGATCGGGTGGTCAGACTCGCTGGCTCAGTTGACACATGTCATAGGTTCCCAACTGCGCAGATCGCTAATTTATTTTTGTGTTATATCCATTCATATTTTCAACATTTGCCGAGAGTTCTATGTAACACACCATGGCTTATGTCCCTTGGAAATGACGTCATTGGTGCCCAAACGATTAACGAATGACGCAGGCTACTGTTTTAATCCACCTGTTGCCTAGCCGTCAGCTGGCTTAGTCCTGCGGATACTGGTATAATTATGCATTTTCATGTTACAAGCATGAAAATTGGCAGATATGTTGCTTATACTATGAAAATGAGATACAGATAGGGAGGCACTGAAAATTCAAGATGGCCGCCATTTTTCAAGATGGCCGCCACTTTCGACTCACAATTACACCGTCAGAGACTTAGATTCAATGTAAATTCCACAATTTTCATACAATATGCATGAATTAGAGCAGATATGATACTTGTACTATAAATATAATACACACAAAGGGAGGCTTTGAAAATTC